TTTCCAAATAGCTTTGTAACATTTTTAAGACCATTTTTTTAATATATGGGAAAATAGGGGCGTGGCCAAAAAGATGGTGGGGCCCAAAAGGGTTAAAGAAGCCTGTTTCCCTTTTTTTCCCAAATTGACCCCAAAGTAAAAAGTAAAAAGGTTTTTTAAAAAGAAATTTTCTCTGCCCCAAAAATCAAGACCCAGGTATAGGGGTTTGGGTTTGGGAAAAAAAGTCGGAATTTTTGCTGACAAATGAAAATATTTTTTAAAACATCAGGTTCCTGGTTTTTACCTTTCCATTTTTTTTTACTTTTTTAAAATTAAAATTGACAAATAAAAACCCCCGGGCACTTATTTTCTATACCAAAATTAAATTTTTCCCGAAAAGGGTTTTGTAAACCAAACGGGGAAAAAAATTTGGGCCCTTGACTGGAAATGGTTCATATTTAAAGGGTTACTGGTGGGGGTATTTAATATTTTTCAAAATTTTTTCTTTAAAATTATTTTTAATAATATAGGGGACCTTTTTTCTACGCTTTAAATTTTTAAAAAATGTGTTGGTTTGACTTTTTTTTTTTTAAAATCCCAAATTTTGCAGATTTTGGGATTTTTAAAAAAATTTTAAATAATTTTTCAGTTTGTTTTTTTGTTTTTTTGAAAAATTTTTGGATTTATCCCAAAAAGTTTTAAAAAGTATTTTTGTAATTTGTTTCCAGGTGCCCCCAAAGCCTCCTCAGAGTTTTGGCCCCCCAAAATCAAATTTTTTAAAATTACTCTCCCCAACCCCATTATTTGTTCCATTAAAAATTTTAACAACAACTTATTTTTTAATTTCCCAAACGGGAACTAAAATTTCCCCATTTAAAAAAAACAGTTGCCCCAATTGTAAAACCCCCTTTTTTTTAAAAAAAGGTTTTGGCCGGGCCCTTTTTTAATTAAAAACCCTAAAATCCCCCTTTTTTGGCTTTCCATGATTAAAAGGGCCAACCCCCAAAAAGCCTTTTCCCTTTTTAAAAGTTTTTTGACCCAGGGCTTAAATTTTACCCCCAAGCCTCCCTTTTAAAAGATTTTACCAAGGCCCTGGTCCCCCCAAGCCTGTAAAATCCTGAATCTGAGAAGGGCCCCCAGCCTGGTTCCACTGGGGGGTCGAATTGCCTGTTTTTCCCCCAAAAAGGCCTTGTTGTCCAGAAAATTTGCCAACATTTTAATTTCCCCCAAGCCCTCGTTTCCTTTTGTAGGGGTTTTGAAAAAAACCTGCCCCCCCAACCGGGCCCCAAAGTAAACCATTGTCAGGGTTTTGTTGTCCACTTTTTTTTTTTTTCCATTTTGTACCCAATAAAATTGGGGGATTTAAATTAAAAATGAAATCCCTTTTAAAACAGGGGAACCGGGAAAAGGCCAAAAAGAAATTCCCTTTTGGTTAAGAAACAATTCCCCGGCAAATATAATGGGGTCACTTTTAAAAATTTTTTAAAACCCCAACAGATTGCCGAAAGGCCCCCAAAAATTTTATTTTAATCTCGGTTTTTGAAAATCCGGGATTTAAAAGGGATTTTAAAAAAAATTTTGGTTAAAATACCAAAAAATTTCCTGAAAAAGGGGAAAACCCCTTTTTAAGTTTTCCTTTTTTAAGGAAAGGGCTCCCTTATTTTTGGGGAGGATTCTTTTAAGGGGAACCCAATTTTTCCCCTTGGGGCAAATTAAAAACCACAAAGAATAAAAAAAGGAACCCCAAACCAAAAAATTTAAGTAAAATCTTTTTTTACTTTTTGCTATATTTGGTTAACCTTTTTTTTCACTTTAATTTAAATGTTTTTTTGGCAAGGAAAAAGGTGGGCCCTTTTCTTTTTAAATTTCGGGTTTTTTTAATTGTTTAACCCCCCCTTTACAGTTTTCCCCTTTTAAAATTTTAAAAATTTTTTTTAAACCAAAAACACAAAAAATTTTTCAGTTTTAAAAATTTTTTAAAATTAACAGAAAAGTTTTTTGGTCCAAAAAATTTTTCCCCCCCAAAAATATTTTCCTTTAAAAAACCGTAAAATTTTTTTTGGGTTTTAATTTTTAAAACCTGTGTGAAAGCCAACAAGAATTTTCCCTTAATTTAAAATTTTTGTCTACCGGCCTTTTTGGGTTCCCAAAACAAAAACTTTTGGAGAAAATTTGGGCAAAAAAACCTAGGGAGGCGTCCCCTGATCCCCAACCCCCCCCCGGGGGTTTAAAGGGGTTTTTTTGTTAATCCCCAAAGAAGTTTTGACTTTTAAACGGGGTTTTTGGAAGGGAATTTTTCAAAATTTTAAAAAACCCCCGGGGGGGTTTTGGGCCCATTTTTTTTTGAAAAAACGAAAACCAAAAATTTTTTCCTGAAATATCAAAATTTGGGTTTTGGGTTTTTTGAAATTTTAAATTTTTGGTTTAAAAAAAATCCCCCCGGGGGTTTTGCCCCCGGGGGAAAAAGGAGAACCAAAAACTTTTTTTGATTAAATTTCCTATTTTAATTTTTGGGGATTTTTTAAGCAAAGCGGGAAAATTTCCCCCGGGGGGGGAATTTTCCCCCCATTTTAAAAAATTGGTAAAATCACCCTTTAAAGTTTTGGGTAAAACCCTTACCTAGTTTGGGGTTTTTTAAAAAAGGGGAAAGTTTTTACAAGAAATTAAAAAATCAAAACCCCCCCGGGGGCGGCGGCAAAAAAATTTTTTGAAAATTGGTCCCCAAAAATTTTTAAAAAATTAAAAATTTTAATTTTTTTTTTTTAAAAAAGGATTTTTTAATTTTTCTTTTCGATATAAAATTTAAACCCCCCCTTTTTATGGGGGTTTTTTTTAAAATTGGGCCAAAGGGTGAAAACCCCCTTGTTAATCTTTTTAAAATTTTTTTTAAAAAATTTTGTTTTAACCCCAAATTGGGGAAAAAAACCCCGGGGGGAATTTCAATTTTTTTGGCCTTTCCCTTGAAAGCTTTACCCAACCCAGCCTTTTTTTAAAAATTTTTTTGATTAAGGGTAAAAAAAATCCCCCCACCTAATTTTAAAGGGGGTTTTTTTTAAAAATTGGTTTAAAAATTTTAAACAACTTTAGTTTTTTTTTTAAAAAAAAAAGCCGGAAACCCAATTTTGCAGGAAATTAAACTTTTAATTATTTAAAAAGGGGTAAAAAAGGAACAGTGGGGGAAAAAATTTTTTGTTTTTTATAAAATTTAAAATTTAAAAGAAAAGAAACACAAACAACAAAACAAAAAGCCCCCCTTGTTAAAATTTTACGGGGGCTTTTTTTAAAAAATTTTTAAAAAAACAATTTAAATTAAATTTCAAAATAAAAATTTTTTTTGGGTTTTTTTAAATTTTTTTAAACAAAATTTAAAAGGTCAAAATTTTACACCCATTTATTTGGAAAGATCATTTTTTTCCCATTTTTTCCGGGAAAAGGGTTGAAAAAATTTTAAATAGGGGAAAAATTTGGGGAAAGAACCAATAAAAATTAAACCCACATTTTTTAACCCAAAAATTAAATTTCAAAAAGCCCAAATTCAATTAAAAAAAAAATTTAAAAAACAAGACCCGCTGGTAGAACAGGCCTGCCTTGAAAGGGCTATATGATAGTAAAACAATGAGCCCTTGTATAATTTGAGATTTTAATTTTAAAAAAAGGCATAATTCTGTCAAAATTCCACAGAAGAATTTATGGTCCTTGAACAATGACCTATTATTTAACTCTCAAACAAGGGTGCTCAACATTTAAAATTTTTAGTCATTATTGGAAAAAAATACTTTTCCCAAAAGTCCCATGCATGTCAAAAAACCTCAGTGGAGTTTTCCCCTTAAAAACCTATGTTTAATAATAAATCTTTTTTCTTTATTAATTAGCTATATTAAATTTCTTAATTCACACAGTTATTAGACATGATGTCATTTTCTTTACATAAACATTTGCGTCAAGACACGCTAAATGTTGGCATTATTATATAGGAGACTCAATGAAAAATGGTTCTTTTTTTACTTCAAATGGTCTTCATTTTTGGTATGTGACACATAGAATATTAAACTCGTGTAAGTTTAATAGTAAATTTATTGAACTCGCTCAATAAAAAAAAATAAAGCTCGCCAGTGGCTTGCCTAATATAATTTTATTCAACTTGTTCAATAAATTCAGTATTAAACTAACACTCATTCAATATCCTCTATTTAATACATCGGAATGCAATTACTATACTTCAAAGTACAAAGAAACATTTTTTTATAAAAGTCAACAATAGCACTGATTTCCTGCCCATGACTTAAAAGAATTTAGGTCCGGCCCAAAGAATAATTGTGTTTCACGACACTCGACTGACAGGCCTGTGAAAAATTAGCATGCGATCACCTTATTTTCTAAAATTTATATTATTGAATTTTAAAAGGAAACAATTCAATTACCAAAGGAATAAAATTTTACAAAAATGAAAATACTACATACATAGAAGGATGGTATGAACTTTAGCCCTAAAAAGGCATATATATATATATATCATGGTGATTAACTAGAAATGGCAGTCATTATATTGTTTTCAAATTTTTGTAAAGGGTCTCTAAATCTAAATGGAAACAGAAATTTTTTTCCCATTTTCCCATTTTAATTTTTTCAATCGGGGCAAATTTAAAAGGGTACATAGGGGTTGCAGGTAACTTTTTTTATAAAAACATTTCAAACATCCAAATTTGTATTACATCCCCCAAAAAAGGAAAAATTATCAAAAAATATTCAAATATAATGTAACATCTTAGTGATATTTTTAAACAGTAAAAAAAATTTTAACATCGAATCAAAACCCTTTAAATGTCCTTATTCAGTTAATAAGGAAATTTCTCATATAGTCCTTAAAAAGAAAAGTTTAAACTCAGTTATATTTTAAAAGGGCCCAACAAAAATAGTCAACTTTTTTTGGGATCTTTATTTCTCCCCTGTAAAAACCCAAAAGAACCCAACACCCTTTTAAAATTTTTTAAACAGGTTATTTTCCCCTTTATATTTAGAAAGCTTCAAATTGTTTCAGTTCACCACTACTTTCTGATATAGAGTCAAGCAAATCTTCAATTTTTAACTTATCCTTACGGTATTTCACCTTGCCAAAAATGTGCGCATCTTTTATATGTCTTTTAACAGCAGATTTCCCGGAGTACTTTTTCTGACAAATAGCACACTCCCATTTCAGGTCTCCTGTATGTGTGCTTTCATGCCTTGTCAAATCAGTTTTTATGTGAAACATTTTTTTACACACTACACAAGAAAATTTCTGCGAGTCATCATGGCTCTTCTCATGAACTTTTAAACTTGATTTGCTGACGAACGATTTAGGGCACTGATCACATGACCAGGGTCGTTCTCCCGTGTGTGTAAACAGATGACGTTTTAGATCCGACTCCGCACGGAATGTCTTGTCACAATTATGACACTTATAAATGTCGCCAACTAAATGATGGAACTTCCTGTGTCGCATCTGACTTGACCTACATACAAATGATTTATCACATTCCGGACACGGATAAGGTCGTATACCACTGTGGACATTTAAATGTCGGTCAAGATCGTACTTGAGTTTAAAAGTTTTCCCGCAAACTTGACAGAACAAGCTGTAGGCCTTGTGTTTTATCTTCACATGATAATCGGCACTTTTCCGACACTTATAACATTTTGAACAAATCGTACATTTGAAAGTATATCCTCCAGTGATACTCTCTGTTTTAATAACTACTTTATTTGATTCATATATATCTGTTGTTGAGGCTGTATCTATAGGAATTTTACAATCTGTGCTATCTGAAATGTAGATAAGAATCTATTTACAAGTAATTGTTTAATTTTAAAGTGCCATAATTTTTTTCATGTTTTACAGGGTTTTTTTGGTTAATAATAGGGGAAATTTTTATTTGATAAAAAACCCGTAGTGAAAATTTATAAAAAATCATTTTTAAATGTATCTGAAGCGGATGAAAAGAATTCATAACTAGACAATAATAAATGCTGTTATACATAAATTTGGCTTCTTCCTGAGGAGAAGATTTTTTAAAATTTCTTTTTATCAGCGCCTGTGTCCTACTTATGCATCAGACTGGAAAAACTTTTATAGAGGGACACCTAACGATAATTCCTGTAAAGTTTGAGCTAAATCTATCAAGTAGTTTAGAAGATGTTATCAAGAGGATCAAATTTTGTAGTCAGTAAAACTTAGTCAAAATGAACCTCAGGATTTCATGGCTAATGAGCACCCTGCCGCTGTGGGTTCAAATCCTGACAGGGACATTGGATTCTTTCATGTAGGAAAATATTCAAACAGCTTTGGGAATTTAGTGGGTTTTACCCCGGGTGGGCCCCTAAGTGGGTTTTTAAATAATTCAAGGGAAGGGGGACCTGGGTCTTCCTCCACCCCGTAAAGCTGCAAAATTGCTAAAAGACCCCATAAATGTGTCCCGGGGTGTGACGTAAAACCCAATCACATAAATAAACAGACTAAGTTTTTGACCCAAAATGCGCCATGGATCTGAGATGACATTGACGTTATCATTGTGAGAAAGTTTGATAAGGATCCAATGAAAACTTTGACCTGTTAACTGTTGGACAATGGATGCTCGATCAACTGACCTATGCTTATAGTTTACTTGAGCTAAAGCTCATTGAGCTAAAATGAGGGTAGATAGTAATAAAGACTAAACAAAGTACTTGTTTTTTTACCTAACTGAAATTTACACTCAGTATACATGAATAGCTCACACAATTTAGTTTGACAGACTAAGAATCTTCACAATTTTTATCTTTACCTAACTCTTCTTTATAAGAAACAACATCATCTCTATCACCAACGTTGTTCTCCTCTAAACTGACCGGATCACTTGAAAAATTACTGGAACTAACTGTTTCTTTGACCTTTCTTTCATCAGCCTCAGATACAGTAATCATTTTACCACCTCTTCCACTTTCCTCTGTAGTTGTTTTAGCATTGACCTTTATAACTTTGTCATCAGAATCTTGTTCCACGCCATACATATTATTATCTTGCATAGACCTAAATTCTTCAAAATCTTTGAATGTTTCTTCAGCTTCATCATCAGTTATATGCTCCATTTTCTTCTACATCTAAAAAAGTAATCAGAATAATTTCAATAAAATCAAAAGTTTAGCTTCTATATGAAAAATACTTGTTTTGGTAAATTGATATGTACATGTATATACATGCATATATTGTAATAACTCTCTGAACTATGTTAGCATAACCTTAACACTTCACATGATGGAACCAAAAGTGATAACGTGAGTCAATAGTCGGGCCATGTTCTACTGGCTTATCAATGGTCATGTTGTATTTAATCATTTGGTTTATCATTGGCCATGTTATATTCAATCATTGGCTTATCAATGGCCATGTTGTATTCAATCATTGGCTTATCAATGGCAATGTTGTATTCAATCATTGGCTTATCAATGGCCATGTTGTATTCAATCATTGGCTTATCATTGGCCATGTTGTATTCAATCATTGGCTTATCAATGGCCATGCTGTATTCAATCATTGGCTTATCAATGGCCATGTTGTATTCAATTATTGACTTATCAATGGCCATGTTGTATTCAACCATTGGCTTATCATTGGCCATGTTATATTCAATCATTGGCTTATCTGAATGGCCATGTTGTATTCAATCATTGGCTTATCAATGGCCATGTTGTATTCAATCATTGGCTTATCAATGGTCATGTTGTATTCAATCATTGGCTCATCAATGGCCATGTTGTATTCAATCATTGGCTTATCATTGGCCATGTTGTATTCAATCATTGGCTTATCATTGGCCATGTTGTATTCAATCATTGGCTTATCAATGGCCATGTTGTATTCAATCATTGGCTTATCGTTGGTCATGTTGTACTCAATCATTTGGTTTATCAACTAAGGGTGCAACGATACATTCACCTCACGATACGATAAGTATCAAGGTACAGGGTCCATGATACGATACGTATCACGATACGGGTTGACTAAAGAAAATTGTAATCCATTTAAACTTTATATTTTCACACAGATGTTTTATGCAAAATTAATTTAAAGGGACTCCACTGAGGTTTTTTGACATGACGGGATTGGAAATAATTTTTTGAGATTATTACTCCATTTGATGTAGATCTATACTAATAACTTATGTGCAAAATTTCACATCATTAGCTCGCTCCGTTGTTCCTGAATAATTATTATAATAGTGAAAAATGACCCAAAGTTTAAAAGCTGTAAACGCTTTTCACTCAAATCGGACTGAGAATAGCACAAACATATGACTTTCAATGTATTTCTTGTCTATTTCTTAGTTATTATTTTGTTATGTTTTATTAATATTTCTGTTTAAAGTGCTCATGTTTATCTATGTAAAAAATTAAAATGTTATGTTTTAGGCTTATAAACCTCAGTGGAGTTCCTTTAAAGTTGTGATGTAACAACATTATGTTTTCTATTGACATTTTGATAGTTAAAGTAAAAGGCTAAAAGCTTTAATATTTTCTTAAGCTTTGAGAAGTAAAATACCTACAATAAAAATATCATTCAATATAGAAGCACAGGTGATAGACACATCACATTTGTATTGTCGTATGTAAGGTGATTACTATTTTGGATAAATTACTCAAGTTTAATAGAAAAATTTAAAATGTTCAACAGTAAGATGTACTGGATGAGATATTTGCGGTCAAAGAAGATATTTTCCCCATTATGTTTTCATCTTAAATTAAATCCAAAATGCTTCTATATTTTGACTAAAAAGACACTGACCCTGATTTAAAATTCATCTTTAAATTACTCCCCCGAAAATGGGTTTAAAAAATTTGGACCCTTACCTTTAAAATGATTTTTCATACCCCAACCCTCGAGTGATACTGGAGACGGGATACCCCTTACACCTTAGTGATTCAGGCAATCCAGGTTCGATTCCTCAGTGTTCCTGTATCACTTTTTTGTGAATTAACATGAAATCCTTTTTACGGACATTTGCGATGTACATAAGATAAGATAAGATAAGATAAATTTTATTTCAAGTCGGCAAGTTTTCAACATTACAACATAAGCTCTAGGAGCTTTTATAACCGACTGTAAATAACATAAAGTATAAGGTCAACAAAGATAAAACAGCTACAATAAAAAATGATTAGACATGATATATATACATCACATGCATAAAATAGACCTTTTAGGATATATTTATAAAAACGAATCATATGCTAAACAAGAGCTGTCGGTAGGACAGCAACGCTCGACTATTCTAGTGCTTGATAGTAAAAAATAATGCTTGATAGAGTTACCTACTCCTGTTTACAGGTTGGTGACATGATGGTGAACAAGTATGCAAAGTTTCAAAGCCATATGTCAATGGACTTTGAAAATATTTGAGGTATTACAAAAAACTTTAACGTAAATTCTAAGTCGAAAAAGGGGCATAAGTCTGTCAAAATGCTTGATACAGTTACCTTCTCCTGTCTACAGGTTGGTGTCATGATGGTGAACAAGTGTGCAAAGTTTCAAAGCCATATGTCAATGGACTTTGAAAATATTTGAACTATTACAAAAACTTTAACATAAATTCTAAGTTGAAAAAGGGGCATAATTCTGTCAAAATGCTTGATAGAGTTACCTCCTCCTGTCTACAGGTTGGGGTCATTATGGTAAACAAGTGTGCAAAGTTTTAAAAGCCATATGTCAATGGACTTTGAAAATATTTGAACTATTACAAAAAACTTTAACGTAAATTCTAAGTCGAAAAAGGGGCATAATTCTGTCAAATGCTTGATAGAGTTACCTCCTCCTGTCTACAGGTGGGGGTCATGATGGTGAACAAGTGTGCAAAGTTTCAAAGCCATATGTCAATGGACTTTGAAAATATTTGAACTATTACAAAAACTTTAACATAAGTGGTTACGCCGACGCTCGGGTGACTACAATAGCTCTACTTATTCTTATCGAATAGTCGAGCTAAAAACTAAAAATGATAGTTTACCCAAATCTACATCACTAGCAAAGTCTAGTATCTAAAAATTTACTTAAAGTTCAATAATATACCGAGTAAACAATTAAAAATTTAATGAATTATTTAAATAAATAAATAAATAAAAATACTAAAAAAAACAACAAAAAAACAACATACATTTTTATATATAATTTAAATATGAAAGACTATGGGTTATCAGACTACACAAAGACAGAAGGTATTAAACATGTAAGTCATTAGTTGAACTCATTTAACAGCTAGCTTGAGTCATGCTGGAAAAGATAAGCAAAAAAAAAAACAACAAAACAAAAAGCAAAATCAAAACAAAAGATCACAAAATAAAGCAACATCCTATCTAGAAACTAAATGATAATATTAACATAAGCAGGGAAGAATAGCAAAAACACATTTAAAGCAAGCAAGAAAAAAAACTGAAGAAGCTAAATGATAAATGTGACCCAAAAGAAAATGTTCATACCCAGAAAAATAAACAAGAGCTGTCGGTAGGACAGCAACGCTCGACTATTCTTAGTGCTTGATAGTAAAAAAAAATGCTTGACGTAGTTACCTCCTCCTGTTTACAGGTTGGGGTCTGTCCGGTCATGATGGTGAACAAGTGTGCAAAGTTTCAAAGCCATATGTCAATGGACTTTGAAAATATTTGAACTATTACAAAAACTTTAACGTAAATTCTAAGTCGAAAAAGGGGCATAATTCTGTCAAAATGCTTGATAGAGTTACCTCCTCCAGGTCTACAGGTTGGGGTCATGATGGTAAACAAGTGTGCAAAGTTTCAAAGCCATATGTCAATGGACTTTGAAAATATTTGAACTATTACAAAAACTTTAACGTAAATTCTAAGTCGAAAAAGGGGCATAATTCTGTCAAACTGCTTGATAGAGTTACCTCCTCCTGTCTACAGGTTGGGGTCATGATGGTGAACAAGTGTGCAAAGTTTCAAAGCCATATGTCAATGGACTTTGAAAATATTTGAACTATTACAAAAACTTTAACGTAAATTCTAAGTCGAAAAAGGGGCATAATTCTGTCAAAATGCTTGATAGAGTTACCTCCTCCTGTCTACAGGTTGGGGTCATGATGGTGAACAAGTGTGCAAAGTTTCAAAGCCATATGTCAATGGACTTTGAAAATATTTGAACTATTACAAAAACTTGAACGTAAATTCTAAGTCGAAAAAGGGGCATAATTCTGTCAAAATGCTTGATAGAGTTACCTCCTCCTGTCTACAGGTTGGGGTCATGATGGTGAACAAGTGTGCAAAGTTTCAAAGCCATATGTCAATGGACTTTGAAAATATTTGAACTATTACAAAAACTTTAACATAAGTGGTTACGCCGACGCCGACGCTCGGGTGACTACAATAGCTCTACTTATTCTTATCGAATAGTCGAGCTAATAAAAAAGAGGAGTAAATCAAGATATAGAAGTTAGCTGCAAGCAATACATTTACACTGTTTACCATTCCAGGATGAAATTAACTTTTTAAACTGAGCAAAATTTGAACATTTTCTAAAATTTTCGGGTAGAGTATTCCATAAAGCAGGTGCAGCATACCTGAAAGATTTTTTACCTGTAGTTGTAGTTCTTACTTGCGGGATCTGCAAAATATTTGAATATTTAAAATTAATACCAGTAGTTTTCTTGACAATAAGGTCAGACAGAACAGCAGGAGACATATCATGAAAAATTTTAAAAGTTTCAATGGCCATAGCCCTCATTCTTCTTATTTTTAGAGTTGGTATATTAACTTTTATCAGCATATCTTCATAACTTGAATTAAAATCATTATATACAAATCTGAGTGCTCTTTCCTGTAGTTTTTCCATCTTGTTTGTATTATTTTCTAAACAGAAATGCCATGCCATAGGACAGAAATTAAAATTGGACAAAATAAAAGTATGAAAGATTGTTAGCCTATTTGTTTGATTTAAATTGTGACCTATTCTTTTGAGGATGTTTAACTGATTAGCAGCTTTTTTACATATATTGCTTATGTGAAAATTAAAATTTAATTGTTGATCAATGTCGATGCCAAGGAGTTTTACAATTTCGTCACATGTTATTTCACTAGTATTAATTTTGAAAGCTGGGGATTTAGTGAAAGTTTTCTTCCCTACAGCAATAGCTTGAAATTTATCAGGGTTAGCTTGCATTTTATTAAAATGAAACCAATTTATAAGATAGTTACTTTCTTGTTCTAAGGTACATAATTATTAGTTCATCAAAATATTTAGTCCGAAAAGAAAGGGTATTGTCATCTGCATAGTTATATAAAGTACATTTTTTTTTTTGCAATGGCATATACAGAAGTTATCAGTTCCTTGGGTAAGTGACGGGAACAACTGTGCTATAGCTAGTTAATCAGTAGGAGTCACAGGCGCTAGTCACATAATCAAATATTTTACATAATCGGTCTATATATGTATATAAAGATATATCTTTATATACATATATAGACCGATTATGTAAAATATTTGATTATGTGACAAGCGCCTGTGGTAGGAGTCTACTGCAGGACTCGGCAAGAGATTGTAAATCGAGCCACAGAAGATTGAAACTCTATTTATAATCTCTGTAAAATTCGAATAAAAAAAATCCATACCATATATATATCACTATTAATAGCGAGTGCAATTTTTTAATGGATTTAACTGTTTACAGCGATTATTGATAGAATTTCAAGCGCCTGTGCTTAATTTATAGGCTTTCTTTTCTCAAAGTTTACAAATATCCTGCAACAATGATGTAAACAGGTGGAATTAAAACATATAACGGCCATATTACAAATATATGTAAAAAAGCAAGTTCAACCCTGGGCTTTCTTAGAAGAAATTTGAAACATTGCCCTCTAGATTGTAGAAAAACAGCCTTTATAGCCCTTGTACGTTCGAAAATAGAATACGCTTCAATCATCTGGGACCCGTTCTTGAAAAAAGATCAAGATTCATTATGAATGACTACAAGTCAAGAAAACCAGGATGTGTTACAGATATGCTGACCAGCTTGAAACTCGACTCACTACAAGACCGTAGGACCTACAACCGCCTTGTAATGCTCTACAAGATAGCAGGGGGTATGGTGCCAGCAGTGGACCCTGATAAATACCTGACTCAGAAAGTTGAAGGACGCTTAATTAAACCAAAGAGATTCAGTGACTGTGAAACCACAAACATTATAAGAGTAGCCAATAACACTAGATCATTTAAAACTATAAACGCACAAACAAATCAATTTAAAAACTCCTTCTTTGTGAAAACACTTGAGGATTGGAACCATCTGGAAGATTCAGTTGTGCATGCAGTTACAATAGGGGGCTTCACAAACTTGTGAATAAACTAGAAAGATTGGGTATAAGTTATGAGGTTACAAATTGGGTCCATTCCTTCCTTAAGTCACGCTCCCAGCAAGTTGTAGTTGAAGGTAAAAAATCAGGAATTCTACCAGTTCTCTCAGGTGTCCCCCAAGGCTCGTTATTAGGTCCCTGTCTTTTCCTTTCTTACATTAATGACCTCCCAGATAGTGTCAAAGGTAAGGTTAGACTCTTTGCAGATGATACTGTTGTCTACCTAACCATCAGATCCAAACAAGATGCCCAAACCCTCCAAGATGACCTTCATGCTTTAGAAAAATGGGAAAAAGACTGGTCCATGGAATTCAACCCTGACAAATGTGAAGTTCTCAGGATAACAAGAAAAAGAAACCCTGTAATATTTCCTTATACCCTCCATAACATCCAACTTAACTCAACTCAAGAAGCGAAATACCTAGGAGTCACTATTAGTCAAGACCTTTCATGGACCAAACATATAAACAACATCACATCTAAAGCTAATAACTCCCTCAGATTCATTAGAAGAAATGTTAAAACTCCAAATAAAAAGATAAAAGAAACTGCATATAAGACCTATGTTAGACCTCAGGTTGAATATTGCTCCATAGTTTGGCATCCTTGGCAGAAATACTTAATTTATAAGATAGAGCAAGTACAAAGATCAGCTGCTAGATACATTTTTAATGATTATGACTATACAAGTAGTGTCTCAAAAATGATAAATGATCTTAATTGGCAAACCCTTGAACAGCGTCGAAACATCAGTGCTGTAACCTACTTGTATAAAATCCAAAACAACATTGTTTTTGTTGACCACCAACACCTTACTCAAACAAGAAATCTGAACTACCTGATACCCTACTCGAGGACACAATATCATCAAAATTCTTTCTTTCCTAGGAGCATACGTCTTTGGAATAGCCTTCCCCTAACAGTTCAGTCTAGCCCCAGTTTAAACATCTTTACTGAGAGGCTTGACCCATTCTATAAATTCTAAACTGCACACTATGTTTTTAAATTAATAGTCTTGTAGAACTTTTATTCTTTTAACTTTTTAATTTGCACATAAATAAATTCTTTTATTAACAGTTCCCTGACAACGCGCCTGCTAGTCATAATCATAATTGATTGTTAAGCAGTATGATGTAGATGTAGATGTTCAAATCAGCCCTTCAGAAACTCGACTAGAGTTCCTCCACTCCCCGTAGGACATATACCAGAAGTGGTCCTCCTACGTATTCACACAGATACAGATACAGAAATAATCAAATAAGATACCAATACACTTACAGTATCTTCTTAGATCTCATCGAAATTAACTTAAAAACTTCGCTTGATCATCGGTGATTACTGGACGCTTGCATATCGATTTTGGGTAAACAGCTACTAAATATTGACGGAGGCTAAGGTTAAACACTACTACTATATTTTCTTCTACTACTTTTCTTTTGCTTCTTCCTGGCATATCTAAAGGGACTTCAGCGAACAAGTTTTATAGTACTTTCTTTGTTTGGCATGAGAAGCCCTTGTAATGTAGTCCAACTAATTAGACTTGTCAAAGAGACATCGAGATATTTTTGGACGGGCGATGGAATGGTTTGACAGTATTAAAAAAAAGTTGTAAAATGAGTCAAACCGTTCACGCCGATTTAATTTGGCTACTTGTACTGGTAAAATATGTTTAAATATCTATATTTTACATTATATATAGAGGATATTGAATTAGTGTAGTTTAATACTAAATTCATCGTGCAAAAATCATTTATGATACATGCTTTTCGGTGGTTTATAGAAATATATCGGTGATATAAAACTGGTAATTTCACTGTCTGAAACAGTGAAATTACCACTTTGATAATTTCACTGTTTTGAATTTAAGCCCCTTACGTTGTTTCAGTGAACTACCAGCGTGCACAGTACTGGAACCAACTTAATGACGTGACGTACGTCTTAAATGATGTCACGTTTTATTATTATTTGGCGCGCTTTTCATTCAGTATAAGGTGTAATGTCTTTTTAAAAATTTTATTTGCATATAATAAAAAGAAAATTTGTTTAGTTTAGTGTAAGATCGAAATATATTTCACCTTGTGAACACCAAAAGTTCATGTTTGACTCGTGGCTGCGCCACTCGTGAAATATAAACAAATATCCTTTATATTATCACATAAACCGCGGCGCAAGAGTGTAATAAATACAGGATATTTGTTTGTTTTGCATGTAGTAAGATTGAAATATAATTTCACTGAGTGAACACCAGATGCAATATTTTCACGAGTGGCGTAGCCACGAGTGAAAATATAATAGCTGGTGTTCACGAATGAAATATGTTTCAATCTTATATGTAAAACAAATAAATTTTCTTTTTATTTCATGCTTTTTAAGGGATTTTAAGTATATTTTTACTGATTTTGCCGCGTAACGTCACGCATTCTCCTATGTCACGTCATCATATCATAACGTCATCACATCATCAATTTTGAAATATAGGTCTGTTAATTTTCTATAATTTTGTTACATTTTTACATGATGTATGATGACATCGACTTTCTTTTCCTAAAGAAGCAAAATTTACGCATGACGGCAATTATTTCTGCTTGTTATTTCATTTAGTTATGATTTTCTTTTCATCCGCATACAGATATAGTCCGGCTACAGTGAAAATTATACAGTGAAAGTTGAGAAAACCGGACGGACTGAGGGTTTTGTCCGGTTTTCTCAGCGGTCCGGTATTCTCAATGTCCCCTTCAGCTGTTCAGGATCTTATTTTTTAACCGAGCAATGACTTACAAAGGAATGATAAAAATACAAGAAAATATGTTTTAATTGTTTTAGTCCAATTATTGCATATAAATACAATTAAAGTTTGGATTTAAATGAACAGAAGTTACCTCATAACGATCAAGTCCGAGTACAACCGCATATGTTTACATTTGGGTAATGGGTAATGATTTAACGAACATAGTTTACTTTGTTTGTTTATAATAAAAACATATTGGTCAGATTTTTAAAGTAGGTCTCGGCAAAGTTTCGCTGGCTTTAATTAATTTAACTTTGTCACTTTTAGACAGCTCTCGTCGAATTCTTTTCGGAAATGGAGTGTAATAGCGAACTTGTTGTTTTCGGCCTTTTTTCAATTTAAATTGAAATAAAACAGTTATTTCTTTACAAGAAAATAATTAAATATCATTTTATGAATAATTCCATACAAAAAATAAAGTAAATACACAAGTTTATGCAGAAAATAACCTTATTTATTATGGAAGATTCCACTACGTCTGTTTGAATTTTATTGATTTTCATTATAAATAATTTATTTTTTTGAATACTTTGCAATAGATATGAAAGGAATATTGATAATTTCAAAAACATCAATTTTTTGTTAAATAATGATAGAAAAATAGAAATATCACGTAACTGTGTTATGTACTTCATTTGGTGTAATTCCCCAGAGCTAAAACGGTAACGTACCGGAAAACGGTGTTTAGCTAGGTTTTCGAAAAGGTCAATAGAACTTAGCGCCGAAAAACGTCGTTTCCGTTGCGTTGTCATTTTAGGAAATGAATATACAAAAAGCAACACAGTAGGAAAATACTCTATTTTTTATTTAATAATATATTGATTTTAACTGATCAATTCCTCGTGCATTTTGGCATTTATATAAAACGGTAACATCTATACCTTACAATAAATCAAACTGTGAAAAGAGACATAAGAAACAAATCAGACAATCATTGTTCCGTTACCGCTCAATTAACGTATTAGCCAATTGATAAGTACACAAGGTTATTCACACATTCGGCGTCCGGTATTGTCAGGGTAATTGTCTATATAATTGACTTTGTAGTCCCCAATCAACCGTCCGATATTCGGTTTTTACAGATTCCGGTATTGTCAATGTTTCATACAATAGTTTAAAGAAGGGAAAATTTGGGACTGAATTATTCGTCCGGTATTCAGAGAGTTCCGATTTTCTCAGCGTCCGGTTTTCTCAAATTTCACTGTATTTGATAAATTTCACTAGTGGTTTATCAGAATTTATTACATGCTTTTCGGTGGTTTATAGAAATATATCAGTGATATAAAACTGGTAATTTCACTGTTTGAAACAGTGAAATTACCACTTTGATAATTTCACTGTTTTGAATTTAAGCCCTTTACGTTGTTTCAGTGAAATATCAGCGTGCACAGTACTGGGTACCAACTTAATGACGTGCGTCGTAAATGACGTCACGTTTTATTATTATTTGGCGCGCTTTTCATTCAGTATTAGATTTAATGTCTTTTTTAAACGTTTATTTGCATATAATAAAAAGAAAATTTGTTTAGTTTAGTGTAAGATCGAAATATATTTCACCTTGTGAACACCAAAAGTTCATATTTCACTCGTGGCTGCGCCACTCGTGAAATATACCTTTTGGTGCTCACTCGGTGAAATATATTCCGATCTTACACTGAACTAAACAAATATCCTCTATATAATCATCTGACTGGAAAGCATGAAATAAAGCCATTTAATAAAACGATATTTCACTAGTGTAATAACACTTGGACGTAACGTCATTTGCGCTATATAGAAACATAGCGTTGAAGCGCGCTAATGATAGCGTTACACTATGGGCGCGTCATTTGAAAATTACTCATTTTAACAATTCACTGTTCTTATTTTATATATGCACGGATTTATATTACAAATCCGTGATATATGTGAAAACAAGAATATTATATTCGCGTAGATTCAAGAACGAGTTGAATAAAACAATATTATGCTCGCCAGAGGCTCGCATAATATGATTTTATTCAACTCGTTCAATAAATTTAGTATTAAATTACACTCATTTAATATCCTCTATTTAAGCTAATAAAAAAGTAAGCGAACTAAAGACAATTTAGAATATATGAAATAAAATGAAATGATATCTTGCATGAAGCATTGATAAATATACTACATGTACTTTGTTGGTCGAAAAAACAACAGAAGTAAATTATCAATTTACAAAATCTAAATATAAGTCATGCCTGTTATAATCAGTAAATAAACAAATATTTTTTTTAATTATATTTTAAAATATTACATAAATATGCCAATTTAAACTGGGTATGAAAAATATACGATAGAATATTGAACTTCATAGTGTTGTTGTTCAGTGTTGTTATATCTCTCTGGTCCTTCTGGATCATTGATGCCAGCACTATTATAAGTGTTGAGAATTGAGTACCGCTCAAGCCGGTGCTAGGATGCGTGAGGGATGTTGCAGGCATTCAGTATCTCTCATGTACAGACTAATCAAACCGAGTCTGCAATTTTCATGTAATTTTGTTATGATTAATGCTTACGAGGGATTACTTTGTTTTCAGATTTGTATATCTCACAACAGCAGGTGTCAAGTGCTGTGTGGCAGCCGTATAAAGTTGTCCCGGTCTTCACTTCAGTGTCGTTATATTTTTCTGGTCCTTTGGGATCATTGATGCCAGCACTATTAAGTGTTGATAATCGATTACCGCTCAAGCCAGTGCTAGAGGGCAAGAGGGATGTTGCAGGCATTCATTATCCCTCATGTACAGATTCCTCAATCAAACCGAGTCTGCAAATCTCTTGTAGTTTTGTTGTGATTAATGCTTCCGAGGGATCACTTTGTCTCCAGATTTGTATACTACACAACAGCAGATGTGGCAGCCGTAAAAAGTTGTCCCGTTCTTCACTTCAGTGATGTTTCATTTTTCTGGTCTTTGGGATTACTGATGCCAGCTCTATTAAGTGTTGAGAATCGAGTACCGCTCAAGCCGGTGCTAGGGGACAAGTGGGATGTTGCATTTATTTCATTATCCCTCATGTACAGACTCCTTAATCAAACCGAGTCTGCAATTAACATGTCATTTTGTTGTGATTAATGCTTCCGAGAGATCACTTTGTCTTCAGATTTTTAGATTTATATGTTACTGTGTTTATAGTATGAAGCCAGTAGTTCTTATAAAACTTATATCCAACTGGTCAGAATAGATAAACAATTTTTATATCAATGGTACTGGTTGTACTTAAAGCTACATTTAATAAATTTCATAAAAAAAAAAAGAAATAGCTACATTAATATTTCGTTAATCAAATGTGTTTCATATTGACTCCCCTTTTTATTTTGGTGTCCAGACACCAAGACGTTTTCATACAATTCAATCTTTTTTATGAGATGACTACTTTTTTGTGAAAGACAGGGCTAATGCATCGTGAACCTAAAACGGTAAAAGTTTGTTTGCACAAAATATCTCATATGTGCTGTGATCTACATAGAAACAATTGATTTTACCACTGTGACGCAGCGCATACACACGCCTATTATAGTCTTTATTTGCATGATTTGCATGTTAAAATTTTGAATACAATCTTTAGTGT